ATAGGTCCGAGTAGAGCAAACCAACATGAAAGTTAAGTTTGTACCCCCTTGTAAGGTTTTACTTCACTTCTTTGGACAGGCCAAGTCCAAATTCATGGTTTTAGGCACAGACAGCAAGTACTTAGTATCATCGTCAGAAAAAAAATGAGTGGAGTAAAGATTAAGATCCCCGTATTGTTGTACAGACCTAACTTTTTTGTTACGATTTAAACAAATTGATACCACCACACACACATCTGGTTAACAACAGAAAGACGCGATAATGTTTCTGCTGGCTGGAATTTGTCCCTTGTTTTTTTTTGTGGTTTAGTATATGGCCAGGGTATGGTCCACTTTTTAAGAGGGTGGGTCAGGTGTTGAGAACCTTCAGTGTTTACAGGAAGTAGTCGGGGGTGCGTCTCGTGACGTGTGGCTCGCCGCGGCGTGGGGCGGGGTCAAACTGCAAGCTGTAACGAGAATAACAAAGTCTTCATTAATGTGTGGTACGAAAGGGGATAACTAAACGAGTGCCAACACTAAGTGTACCATTACAATTCAATGGCCAGCTTAGGATGCAATTTCTTGCCAATGGTTAAGTCGCCAATGAAGGTTAGACACCCAGGTAATGAGATACACAAGAAAACCGTTACTCAAGCAACAGTTGACTGTTACGTTAAGTTTTCTTGTAAGGTCTTTAAGGTGACAAAAGTACTTGATTGACTAACAATCACATAGGAAGGTACACAAAAAATTTGAGCACCATTAGGAGACAGATTTTTCTATGATACACAAAGGTCTCCCACACGAAACATGCAATGCACATTGAATTCTGGGGATGGCTGGAATGGTCCTCGATGGGTTATAACAACTCTGAGGAAGTACACTCCTGGACCAGAGTATATTTTTTTATACTTACAAGGAGTACTTCAGAGTGTCGTCCAGTTCCATGATGGCGGCCTGGTTGCCACAGCGGTAGCAGTAATTAGGTGCACTGAAGATGGTCACCACGTTCCGATCGTGGCACCAGTTGTAGCCCTGAACGAACACGGGAACAAAATCAAATTAGTGGACTGGACACAAAATAAATCAATTCTGGCTGTCCTGCAAAATTAGCAGTTCTACTAATAGTTCAGTGGCTGAACTACTGCCAAATTCTACTTGTTTGTTTTGCATTGGCATGAATTAACTGTGGTAGCTAGGGCAATGGAATTGGTCTGTTGAAATGCACAGGACGTATCAAGAGTCTAAAATGAACATATACTAGTATTGGCAAATCAAACTCCTTATTACTTCATGATGGACTTCATGGATGATGACAATGTTACCCTTGTAAAGGAGCATGTCAGCAGAATGTACTGCGCCTGTGCAAAACCCATAATGTATAGCAATGTCTTTCTTTAAGGACGTAGTTGTGTATTTAAGGCTGGGATTGGTACTCCTGACAAGCTTTGTTAGTGTCTGCTCACCTCCATGACCAGCTGATGTGCTCTGGACACCAGGGTGAGCCCGTTGCTGTGGTTGAAGGTCTCAGAGATGTCCTGTCCAAAGGTGTAGCCTGCCCCCCGGGGGGAGATGCCCCAGCCTCCCCTGTCATCAGGGTCTGACCACAGCAGGTCACACATCGGACCCTGGGGAGAGAGAAGTCAGAGTCAGCTTCAGACTATGACCCCGTTTACACTTTAAAAACTGAAATCATCTAAAATCTGAAATCATCAACTGAATTCAACTAGCCAACTAGTGACTTGCATCCACACTCGAAATCAATTGAAGTGTCACGTGCCTCGGGTCTGCCTTTTGAATGTTCAGGAGCCACCATAACTCATTGTGTCATAAATTTTGCCAAAGAGATGAATGTAAAAAAAGCTTGTACAGTGCGGAATCGTAGCAGACATACAGATGACACCTCTGTTTCAATATTGGTTATAAAATAAAATGCGATAAAAATATTAATTATAGGGTTTATCATGTGCCACAGCAAAAAGGGTCAATGCAGTGTAGGAAATTCTCCGACGGTGGTTCCTTACTTCGTGGGGAACCTCCTGTAGACGGTCCAGGGCACGGATATGGTCCAGCGTGTCGATAGATGGGGACAATCCTCCATGTAGGCAGAAAATCTGCAGAAAAATGTAGTAAGGTGTAAGCATCATTGAAAACAGCAGAGAATTTTGTAAAATTAAAAAAAGACAGGAACATTTTTTTATCAACTGAAAGGCAAAGAAACTGCAGGGCAGGTAATTTTGACTGTTAGAAAAGATAACCAGGTAAGATGACATGGTGACTTTGATGACACAACCTACCTGTCCTTCCACCAGGGCCGTCAAAGGAAGGAAGTCAAACAAATCTGTGAAGTATTTCCAAACATTTGCATTCCCATACTTCCGTAGACATTCGTCGTAAAACCCATATACTTGTGTGATCTGTCGGCTTTCGTGGTTGCCTCGCAGAATGGTGATTCGCTTCGGGAAACGAACCTGAAGACAGAACATTCCAGTTGGTAACAACATATTTTACACATGCCTATACAAAGACAGAATTTCCAGTTTGTAAAATGTCTTTCATGTATGCATACTGAAGAAGAGATAATATTAAAAACTAGGATTGCAGATTTTCATCACTTTCATAAAACAAATGGTGAAACATGCAACAAATAGGATTGTAAATGGCTTTGGTTACATTTATTGCTGGTCTTACTGTTACTAGTAGATTGAAACAGTATACAGATTATATACCAATCTGAAATCATGAAGATTTCATGAAGATAATGTAATCCATGGTCTGAGAAAAACATTACCTTAAGAGCTACTAAAAGAGTGACTGTCTCCACAGAGTAGTACCCTCGATCAACATAGTCTCCCATGAACAGGTAGTTGGTGTCTGGCGAGCGACCGCCGATCCGAAACAGTTCCATCAGGTCATGGAACTGCCCGTGGACGTCTCCGCACACCGTGACGGGACACTTGACATCTTGAACGTTGGACTCCTTAGTCAGGTACTCTTTTGCCTGGAGTAAACAGACAAATCAATTTTCTGACCTATCTCAATCGACAATAGGAACTTAAAGTTAACAGAAGAACTTTACTGGCACGACAATCATACATGGCACAATGTATCATGTATGGGATTGGCAACAACTATGCAAGTGCAAAACATGCAATGCTATGCTATTGGAGTCAAGGTCCACAATTGCACTGTGTGCAATTCAGATTTCTGACTTGTGACAGTTTAAACCAATATAACAGTGAACTCAACATCAATATATTGGGAGAACACTTAAGGCAATGCTTTGGGTGGGTGATTTGAGCTGTGTTGAGGGCAGGGACATACTGGGCTAGTAAAACTCTAGATACTAGAATGCAGGAAAAATAGAAAATTACAGTATTTTATACATGGAAAACTGGAGTTTTGGGAGTGGCATATAGCAATCCATGGAATGCATACTGTAAAGAGACCCTCCAGTCTATGCGAGCATCTGAAACAATACAACGTTGGGCAAGTACATACTAAATGTACTATGATGCAAAAGATACCTTTCTTAAGCTGCTTAGTTGTCATGTGATAAGTATCTAAACTAGAGCCTTAAGTATCATAAATTTATTTTAAGAAATAAAAAATAGATTCTTGAAAATTTTCAAACTTACAGATACAGAATTGTACATGAAGTCCAAAGTCCAGAATGTTATCAACAAGGCTAAAAGATGTCTTGGTGTTCGTGTCGTGCATAAATTTTGTTCACCAACATATTTTTTGTCATGTAACCAAGGAAGTCTTTTTTCATTTACCAAATAACACAACAAGCCATAGCTTTTATAAGCAAAATAATACTTTTGCCGTTGAATTTGGTACAGCATTAAGATAGATAAATAGAAAATACACGAGAATATGCGGTGTGCTCAGATGACAGGGCTGGTACGTTTTGTTTTGAATGAATGTTAAATTTTAAAGCATGGTAAACCGGCCCATCGACGCCATTTTGATTTGACCCGGTCTTCCCTCTTGATTCTTGTTCGGGTGCCATAAATCTAACATTGCTCACTGTAAGGCACAAGTAACACGGCAAATACAACAAAAGGGCAACAAAGAATTAAGAGGACGGTGGTAATGATTATCATGCCATGAATTATGCCAGCAAAATGACAGTGTACCTTGTCACATAACGTTTTGACTTGGGTCTCCTGTAGCTGCTTGCACTCCATCAACTGCTCTATCCACTGGTCCAGGTCCTTTGCTTCCGTTTTGCTCGTTGTAATTTCCCCCATGCTGAAGCCGTTTCTTAACTATCACCTTAGTAATGTTTATGTGGTTCAAAATCTACCCAAACTCCCTGATTCCCCTCTAATTTGGCCCGGCTTGTGAAGGTCGACACTAAACGAGGAAAAAGTCCCGAATGGCCGCCACAATTTTCACTATGCAGTGACGTCAATGTTCAAATTACCGATGACACACGAGTTTATCCGAAAGCAAACGGCTTTATTTGATTGGTCACGATAAGGACCGGAAACACACGAGGCTCATGTCGGTATTTTCCTTCCCACAATTCTTCCCTTTTCCGGTGACGGGCAAGGGCACTTCCTCTTTCCGTGGCCCATCTTTCTGAGACGGTGGCCCTGCCAAAGTTGCGGATCTAAATCCGCCAGAATCCGAGCCTTGCAAGCGAAAGCAAGCAAAGATGGCTATGGAACAAATGACCCTACGTGGTACCCTAAAGGGCCACGGGGATTGGGTCACTCAGATCGCCACGACACCCCAGCAACCCGACATGATTCTGTCGGCATCCCGAGGTATGGGATCGTCACCATTTTTTGTGTGCAGCCCATCTTGAAACGTGTACTTTGTATACGCGTATTCCTAGTCTGTGTTCAGGTTTGGAGGTGTGACATATGAAAATCATCAGTAAATATCCTCTCCGGGCTGTTCCATTTTTTCTGAATTAAGGGACATGGTCATAAAGAAACTTTTTGACCCCCCCCCCTTAATAAATATTTTCAACTTAGACCTATGCACTCCTAACGTTACCAAATTTTCATTCACAAAAATATTTTTATCCCCCTACCATTATGGCAATCTGGATCAGTAGAATAGTTTCCATAATTTTGTTTAAAACACAAAGTAAATATTAGCTCGGGGAATTTGTTGATATGAATTATGACTACTACTACTCTGTAGTGCTGGGCATTAACGAAGAAGATGACACTCTTAATTGTTTGGAGGGGCAGAAAAAATTATTTGGGGGGAGGGGGGTACTAAACCAAAGATTGCAGAAATTAAAAGTGCAGAATGAACATTTTTATAGATAACAATTCCTGCACTTGCTGCTAGGCTAAAACATTGCAGATGCTGAATATATTCTCAACTTCGATCTTTTGTCTATTTTGTACCCACAGATAAGACCATCCAAGTTTGGAAGCTGACCCGAGATGAAAACAACTATGGTATCCCCTTCAAGAGCTTGAGAGGTCACAACCACTTCGTGTCTGACGTGGTCATCTCGTCTGACGGGCAGTTTGCCCTCTCTGGATCCTGGGATCACACTCTCCGCCTTTGGGATCTCAATACGTAAGTTTGGAAATCCGGGATCTCTATAATGTGGAAGAAGTCTCTTGTGTAGAATATGGGTATGATGAAGTTGTCAAAGCCATGTTTTTGTGTTCAATGGTCCAATGATTTTAATTTACCCTTTTGCTCTCTGAAGCATCTGTAGACACCATATACTATCATGAGGACCATCCTATTGGCTACACTTGGAATCTTTTTAGTTTTAACAGAAGTAACGAAACTGTGTCTTTCTCCTGCAGGGGAAACACCACTCGCCGGTTTGTTGGCCACGGCAACGATGTTCTGAGCGTTGCGTTCTCCGCTGACAACCGTCAGATCGTGTCTGGATCCCGTGACAAGACCATCAAGCTGTGGAATACCCTGGGAGTCTGCAAGTACACTATCCAGGTCAGGGGCATATTATAACTATCATATCTACTCCTGTCATTATACCATTATGGTGAAAGATAAAAAAAAGCTTAGTGCTATTGTCTTCGGATGAAGTGCATCCAAAAAGTGAGTCCGAGGGTTTGCATAACTGGTTTGGTACATTGAGTACAAGTTGTTTTCAGTCCATAATCTCCATATTTTTGCACTTCCAGTCCAGTGATTATGACAATTCTGAACCTGTTGTGTGGACAATGTCCTGCAATTATGAGGATACAAGACGTGCAACTCAATTCCAGTCAACAGCCGTAATCACAAGGCCATTTTTGTTGCTCACATTGCTACGGTGTCTGTTACAGGAGGATGGGCACACCGAGTGGACGTCCTGTGTCAGGTTCTCCCCGAACAACCAGAACCCCATCATCGTGTCCTGCGGCTGGGACAAGCTGGTCAAGGTGTGGAACCTGACCAACTGCAAGTTGAAGACAAACCACATCGGCCATACCGGTTATCTCAACGCTGTGACTGTGTCCCCTGATGGCTCACTGTGTGCTTCTGGAGGCAAGGTAATGGATGGATTCATCAAGCCTTTACTTATTCACAAAAAAATTTAAATTTTATTTAAATAAAAAGGGGCCAGCAGCATTGTTACAATCAGTGATTGAGTACATTAGAGAGTACGGCCTTGCCAGTGTGGATCCTGCTGCCCATCTCTGTAGGCTAGCAGTGTTGCCAAAGACTCGCTACTACATGATCCACTAACATCTAGCCACACATAGCCTGTATGGAACTTCACATAGATCTTTGGCAGTCATAATTCTGAAAGCCAGAAAGAATATCCCAATGTCTTACTTTCAATAGACCATACGTAGTTACTGAAAATGTTAATAGCCTTGTCTGTTGTTGCACACAGGACAGCAACGCCATGCTGTGGGATCTGAATGAGGGGAAGCATCTGTACACCCTGGACGGCAGCGATGAGATCAACGCCTTGTGCTTCAGCCCCAACCGTTACTGGCTGTGTGCTGCTACTGGCCCCACCATCAAGATTTGGGTGAGAAGCAGTTTCTTCTATACTAACTTGTAGACAAAATGTCTATATCATGTGACACCACTCTACATTCGGAACCGCATTTGTAATATTGCAGCAGCAACACCTAGCTACAGAATAATCAGAACCAGTCATTGCTGCCATGTGAAAACCCTTGGTTGTTGAATAACCTTCCTATGGTCCTTGCCACCAAATGAAACTATTTATGGATGTAAAGGGCAAGGTAGTAGAAATTTGAAAGAAATGTGGAAGACTTATCTGTTTATACGTCGATGAAGATTAGACATCCAGGTAATACGATACGCCAAAAAACAGTTACTCAAGCAACTGGATATGATTTTGAAAACGTCAGACGTTTCAGCTAGTATCCACTAGCTTTCGTCAGTGACTGACGAAAGCTAGTGGATACTAGCTGACGAAAGCTAGTGACTGACGAAAGCTAGTGGATACTAGCTGAAACGTCTGACGTTTTCAAAATCATATCCAGTTGCTTGAGTAACTGTTTTTTGGCTTATCTGTTTATAGCCTGTATTTTTGCACTTGTAGTCCAGTGATTAAGACAAGTCTGAACATACATGTGTGGACAAAGTCCTGCAATTATGAGGATACAAGATATGCAAGTTCTTTCATGCTACTGATGAGTGAAGTGGTCTGTTGCAAACATGTATTCCACTGTGCCTGTTCAGGATCTGGAAGGTAAAATCATTGTGGACGAGCTGCGACCTGAGATCATCTCCACCAGTCCGAAGGCCCGGCCGCCTCAGTGCATCTCTCTGGCCTGGTCAGCTGATGGCCAGACTCTGTTTGCTGGCTACACTGATAACACAATCCGTGTATGGCAAGTTTCTCTGGCAAGGTAGACACCGTAAACCTTGCGTCAACAAAACAAGAAAACTCTATCCTAATGGTGGATTGTAACTCTGCCCGAAGTCTGTAGTGGAAATGTTTCTTCGCTCTACACTACACTGACTGTAAGGCATGAAAATAAATACTATTTACACCATGAAAGAAGTGTTGTCTTATCTGACTGGTTTTAATTAAGTCCTTACATTGTCACTACTAGAAAGCCATATTTCCAGTAGTTTCAGTACTAGTATATTATTATTTTTGGGTCCAAATTAGTAGTAACATGTATCATAGTGGTAGCTAGTCCTAGGGTATTTTACCTTCCTAATGAAGTGACAGTCTATATATGCAAACATGATTATAAAATAATTTAGGCTAAGTAAAAAAGTGCGTATATAGTTACACTGAGCAAAATTCACAAAAAATGTAGCTGCAATGTAATGTTGGCTTCTGAATATACCCTTGTTCTATACAAATTTTACAGATACATGTACAAGCCTGTTTCTGCTGTTCAATAACAGACCTCAAAACTTGTTTTCAATGGCAGATCTGTTATTATGGTCATCAGTTGAAACAACCAGTTGCTCGTTTCATGAAAAGCCGATTTGACAATAACTTACAAAAGCTCCAATAAAACAACACAGGGTAAGTCAATAGTATACAAATATGCAATCGACTTAGATCTTAGTCAATTGATATTGGAATCTCATCTATAAGATGTTTCCGCTTACTAGAAACAACATATCACTGGTCAAGCTTCATTGTTCCTTTTCTAGATTCAGCTCTTTCAATTTGTTCATGAAGAATCTTTCCAGTGTGTTGGCGCAGCGGAAATACTCCGTGTCTGGACTGTTGTAGGCTCGACAGTTGGTGAAGATTCTCTGCATGTCGGCTATGAACAGCTTCTTGGAGCAGTAGTAGCGATTTTTCAGCCGCTCTCCCATGGTCTTCAGATCTGAAAAAAGGAAGGATTTGTAAGGGTCAGGTGGAAAACACTGTGGATGTCAATCATACAGAAAAGCCACATCTTCAGAGCAACACATACTTAACAGAGAGCAGATGGTCTGATTACCTCTTCTAACACTTGTTTACAACTTGAGACATGTACGATCTAAATGTCCTGCACATGAAGTAATATTCAGGCAGATGTTTTGGTGGCTACAGTGCAGTATCAAATTGGAAGGGCAGTATACATATTGAGTGGTGGAAAGAGAAAGCCTGCTAAAAACATCTAAAAAGATGCAAAAAAATAAGTGGAAGCCTAAATCTAGTACATATATCTCTGCTTGGAGAGTACACATGAAGTAAGGTTATGAAAGAAGGTCTACCCACCCATTGGGTACTTGATGTGCTCGTAGTAGTCTGGAGCTTCAGTCTTCTCCACTGGGCGCAGGAAAGGCCAGGCACTGGCATGGTTCTGTGGGCAGGTACGAAACGGATCAATGTGTTGAACATAACACTTTCATGGACATGTTAACATCATTTGCACTTCTGACATGCAGTTGTATGGAAATACAGATCATGGTGCAGCGATCTTTAAATGGAAACAAGGCCAACGAGGCAAAAAAAACAACAACATAGAAGTCCATGTTTACCATTCAAGAGCTAAGAAAAAGTTTAC